TGAAATCCATGTGAATCTTTAATAATATTTATTCCAAATATGTCACACGGGAACAAAAGAATCTCTTTAGAGTTCCTCTGTGATGCTGTCCTCGGGATCCGTAACTCAGAACTGCTTCAGCCTAAAAATATTTCATAACTCTGATGCTAAAAGGACAGAGAATAGTCTGAGGTAGCTAATTCTAAAGAAAGATATGTGAATTTCTTTCAATTACAGAGATTGTTATTACATGAGGGATAGTGGTGATTGCATGTTTTCTATTCCTAATTATAATAAAATGAAAAAAAAAAAACTAAAGAAATGCTGTAGTTAGATATAAGGAAGAACTTCCTAACAGTGAGGCTTGTTAAGAATGAGAGTATTTTCTAATCTCTCTTTGAGAACAGATTTTTAACTTGGAAGATACCAATTGACTAGAGGTTGCTTATGGGAAGTTTCAACTTAGTGTAAGGGAAATAGCTCTTCCAACCTACAAAGTCTAAGGAACACACACACACACACACACACACACAAAATAGCACAAGTGTTCACAAACTTTGATGTCAGGAGAGTTTTTCAAAAATATAGATCCCACGGCCCATTTCCAGAAATGGTTATACGGTAGATTTTGGGTGATATCTGGAAATCTGCATTAATTTTTGAAGTATGTCAAACCTTGCAAAGCACAAATGTCATGTTAAGGCCTCTGACCAAGGTGCCAGCAGGCTGGGCTCCTCCCCATCTCTGTCACTAATTCATTAAAGGATCTTGTCAAGCTGCAGCTTCCTTGCCTAAAAAATCGATGTAAAACCTCTTGCTCTGCCTACTCCGCTTGGTCCTTCTATCCTATTCGATAAATCTGTGAAAGGTTCTTCAAAGTAGAAAAGCACTTTGCAAATCTGATGGCATATTCTTTTTATCAAATTTTACATCCCTCATTAATCATTCTCCCAAATTAATCAGAGAAGGTCTTTTCTTCTTCCAGCTAAATTTGCCCATGGAATTTCAAATCCACAGATATTACTTAGGAGCCTGCCCTATGTGCAGACCTGCAGGACCTAGTTCTGCTACTTTCCACCTCTGTGATCCTGGGCAAATGATTCAAATTACCTGAGTTTCTGCATCCTCATTTATGAAATGGGGATGCTTTTATCTGCCTCCCGGTTGAGTGATGATAGAACCTGCAAAGTCCCTGCTGCTTTTCATGAGCCTGATTCTTCTAACCCCCAAATTCCTTTCTCTTCTTCAGGCACAGTTTTCTTCCCCTACAATTGAAAATGATCACCTTGCAATGGACAGTATTTGGAAAAAGTCAAGTTAGTAGTTTGCCCAGAATGAAAAGAAATAAGTTTCTTACTTTCTCCAAAAGCTCAACAGAGTTCTCATTAAAAAAAATAACATACATATTTACAGAAATGAGACAGCCAGGCCTGCCCCTGGGTGTTTGGTGAGGGCCACAGAATTCCCTTGGGGCTTCTGCAAATTCAGCTTTACTGAGAACTGAAGGCCCCTCAGCAAACAGAACTCATGGAATTTCTGGAGGAAAGCATAGTGATGATAAAAAAGCAAACAAAGACCTATTCAGTGGGGTCTTTTCTGGCCTCAGCTCTGGCATGTTTTTTGCACTCATTCTGCTAACAAGAGACTGAGGAGAGTAATAGCTTGTTGGATCTGCAGAGTACGTGAGAGAACAACTGCCTCATGTTTTGGGTAGGACTTTAAGAAAGAAAGATATGGAACATTTCACCTACAAAAATCTCTGACATCAATAGAAAGTAGTTATGGCAGGTGCCTTTGGGAACATAGGTTTTCTTTTTTTCTTGGCAAGTCCTTGTTTAAAACATGTCAGTCTATCTGTAACCTGGTACCTAACTTCAGTTCTCAAAGAGCATATAACACTCAATCAGAAATTTCCAACGACTTCTCTTTTATTGCAGACAAGTTCAACACAATGGGGGAAATGTCCTGGAACCCTCAACCAAAGAGAGTCTTCATTGGAAATGGTGGCATGGGCACCTGACAATCAACTGAGTGTCTGCACTGTTGTTTTAGTGCCATCCTCATACCCCAAATGCTTAGTGGCAGAAGCGATGCTGTGGCAGAGGCTGGCTAGTCACTTCCCTAAGTCTGGGGTGTGACATGTCATCAGACTCAAGTCCCAACTCCCAAGAGTATCTCATGAGGCCTTTCCTGATGTGCTACTGGCCGGCCTCCCCATCATGTCCTCTTGCTCTCCCCACCCCCGCAACTCACTGCATCAGATGCGGCTCTGAGTGCTCACAGGAGGGGCCCTGCACTGTCCTCTGCACACACTCCCCTGGTCAATGCTTACCTTTCTTTCAAATCTAACCTCTCGCTTCACTTTCTTCCAGAAACCCCTGGTTCCTTTCCCTCCAACAGGATAGGAACCTTCCCTCTGTGCTCCATTGAAGCACTTAACTCACAGATGTGTTTGTTTATATACATGTCTTCTCCCTTATGAAACTGGGATCTCTTGAAGGCAAAATTTATGCCCTATCCATCTCTATTTCTAGCACTAGCACTTATTCAAAAGGACTCAATAAATGTTAACTGATTAATTAAATGGATGAATTAATGGATGGATGAATGAATGAACGAATCCTTTTAAATTGCTCCAAGAAAGGAAAGATCCTAGCCTCTCCACTCCCATCTTCTCACAACTCTACATTTTGGGAGGTGGAGCTGTTTCATTTTGTTATTTTTAGATCTAAGATCATTGAAGTGAGGAGTATTGCTAAGAAATAATCCTTTGTGTTGATCTGAGCTAAATACTCTAATCCCATTCCCCACTGGCCTGGCCATCTTCCTTTGAAGGCTTTTAAATCTGCTAAGAACCCGACTTCAGCTGCCTGGGCAAAGTGGAAGGGCAGAAGGCTGGATCCTGCTCAGGCTGCTGGCAAAGCCCAGCTTCTAGGTTTCAGCATTGAAAGGAGGGAAAGCCAACCTGGTATCTGTTGGCAGTTTACAAAATAGTCATTAAAATGGAGAGAAAAATGTCATAGGGAAAAGAATCCCGTAGGAGATTAAAGTGGAAAACATTGAGAGACAGTGAATGTCAAGGAGCTTGTTTGAGGTTTACAGGAGAGGCATTCTCTTGGGTGGTGTCTTCAAGAGTTGTCAGGGAAAATGGCTCTGGCCCACAGCCATTGGTTGAGGGGCCGGAAACCCCTTTACTAGCCTTCCCTGACACCAAACCCACCCTCCAACTTGTTCTAATACTTGCAGCAATCCGACAAACACTTTATGGTGCATTTGGCATTGTGTAAGCATTATGGGCCACATAGAAAAAGTAAGATACACAGTTGTGTACCCAAGTGGTTTACGATCTCACAGAGGAAACAAGGTTGATTCGTGTGCAAGCAAGCACGAAAACAAAAGAACATAATACAAGATGGCACAGCTTAGGAAGGACTCTAGACGGTGGTTCTTTGCTGCCTATTAGAATTGTTTGGGGGAACTTTTAAAAGTCTTAAGCCCAGGCCATACCCATATCAATGAAATCAGCATCTGTAGAAGTGGGACCCAGATATTAATATGCTTTAGTTTCCCGGATGATTTCAATGTACAAGTTTGAGAAACGATGCTAAAGAAAGAGCATTTAGCTCTAACCGAAAAAATCTGGGCTGTCTACTCATTAGCTCTGTGACCTTGGGTTAGCCAATGAACACCTCTGGGACTGGCTACTCCAGAGATTTTTGTAAGGCCTGTGAAGACAATTTATATCCCAATGCTCAGCATAATGATGGACACAAATAAGGTATCCCTTAAAAATGCATTTATTTGAATAATATGTAGAAAGTTATTTAATAAGCCTGTAAATGTAGTTATTAATAATGGCACTATTTGTAAAAACATGCTAATATCAGTAATTATGGCCATGGTGATCCAAGCAAGTGCCAAGGTATACAGCAAAGACAGTGCTGGTGTTTAACTTGGTGGCTGTACATAATGGTGCTCCATACATATTTGTTAAATCTGTAAGCGCCTTGCATGGATTGGAAGAATCAAGAACAAAGCTTTTTAGCTCACCTACTCTATTGCTGTGGTCTCTGTCCATCTGTCCATGCACCACTGAGATGCCAAGCCAATAAGCCCTATGGCAGAGGTTCAGAAAACTGCAAAGGAAGCAAGAGAGAGAGAGAGGGAGAAATAGAAAGAGGAGGGAGAAGAGGAGGAGGGAGTGTGGAAGGAGGAGGTAAGAAGTAGTCTTAGAAGGGAAGGAAGAGGAGGGTTTTGACGATGATGGGGAAGAGATATGGGAGTGGTTGGGGGCGTGGAGAGTGAAGAGTTGGTGAAACACTGGATGGGCCCAACAGTTCAGGGAAATGAGATGACAATAAACGTTTTGTCTTATGGTAATTCGGAAATCCCAGCAGATAAGGGCAGAGGAAAGAGTGGGTTGGACTTGCAAAAGCGGGCCGCTCAACAGTAAGAATGCAGAGAACAGGAATATATAGCCCACCAAAAGCATGTCAGGTTTTACTTTTCTGACACTTTGAAAGTCTGAAGGTTGTTAAATTGCCTCCCATTCCTGAAAAAGCCCAGGCAAGCAGCTCCCTCTGGGACTTGCATTAACCCTAGTGCTCCACTGCCAGAAACATGAGCTCATTCCACTCGTGCGTCTGCAGTCCTAGCAAGCACGATCAAACTTTATGAGGCTTGTTACAAGCAAATTACATGGGAAACTGCAAAGGATTAGAGGGAGGGAGATGGCAGTGGGGGGCCGCGTACACTGCTGAGAAAGGGGAGCTGGGTAGCGATGCTGGGCACAGCCCAGACTTGGAATGCATGAGAGCCCATCACTGAGCAGCTGGCAGCTCCTGCCTCCAGGGCCCAATTTTCCAAGTGATGACTTGAGTGTTCACACCTGCACTGGCTGCTACCGACTCCCTCCCTCCACAGAGTTAATGGGGCAGACAGAACCCAGGAACGCTTTTGGCCACAGCAACAATTTCTCTTCTCCTTGGCCCCACCTTCTCTACTGGCAGAGAAGGTTCCTCTCCAGTTCTGGTGTGGGCTTTGCCTCCCAGGCAGCCCTGTTGCTGAGGTGTGCAGCTGCTCCAGGCAAGGTAGCCTCACAGAGGACGGTTCCCAGGTACAAAAGAATCCCAGCACTTTTTTGCCTTAGGTAAGTAGCTAACCTCCTTCCCCCTTACCTTCCTCCTTCCTTTCCCAATGTATAGACCCCAAAACTATTTAAGATTTAGCTTTTTTTCCTATGAAACCCAGTCTTGGACGATTTTCATTATTACAGTATTATTATTATTTTGCATTCCCCAGTGCTTTCTACTGGAAACAAACTGGTGATGGAGTAACTGGGAATATTCCAGGATCTGGGGTTCCCGTGGCTTGGGGTAGCTCCTACAGAGAGAAGCAAAAAACTCATATAGATTATTTTCCTTGAACAGCTACTTTCCCATAGCAAGTGCTGCTGGGTGGGCTCATAACCAGTATTCCCCTCTCATTTGTGTATGCACAAGCATGCGCGTGCACACACACACACACACGTGAATCTTGCTGAAACAGAACCAAATTACAGTGCCCAGATAGGTCTCATGCTTTAGGGACAATTTAAGAGACAGATGCAGGCTAAGTTCTACCTGAGCTGAGGTTTGGACAGATGCCTTAGACCAATCGGAATGCAGGAAACCAAAGAAGCAAAGGAAAGATGCTGTGTGAATGTTATTATATAAATTTTCTCTCCCAGCATAGCTCGGGGTGGTTAGATGCTGTTTCCATCCAATGGGAGCCCTGTAAGCTCTCCCATTAATGCTGGAAAAACATTCACTTAACAGGCTTGTCCAAACAATTCCCTTTTAAATTCAGACATGATGAACTCCAGGGGGAAAGCAGAGCCCCAGGGCTGTCTGCCTCAATACCATCACTCCCGACAGGGCACAGAGCCACACGGTTCACCCCAATAGTCCATAAAAAAGCCCGATGGAGAAACTGTGTTTATGGTCAGGTTACCAAATAGGCGGTGAGCCATTAATGCCTTCCCAGTCTCCCTGTCCTTCAATTTTCCATCCTTCCCAACACTCACACAGGACACACACACAAACCCAACTCTATCCCCTGCCGTCTCTTAAATGCTCTTCCACAAGCTCCTTCCATGACACCCACCTGGCTCCCTGCTGATGCTCCCCTGCCTTTCCAATGACCCCCTCAGAGTGCAACTTGCAGGAGAAACCAGCCTCCCACACCTATCCACCACTCACACCCCCTGTCAGATCATGGCGGCACCCACAGCCTCTTTCTTCTTTCCATTCACATTCTTTCTAAACACATTGATTTTCCATGTTATCTCTCCAGTCTTGAACCTGATCCCATCTTCCTTCAAAAAAAGAAAAAAAAAAAAAAAGAAAACATCCCTGCTTCTGTCCCTTCTCCTGATCCTAGCCTCCACCATTGCTCACATCTCTCTCCACCCTCAGTGGCCAAATCAGTGGCCCCCATCCTTTCTGGCACTCAAAGAAAGCTTGTTCATGAGGCTTTCTTATAACTACTTTCTTGTTCTGTCTCTCAATATATTCCTGTCCTTCCAACTGAACTAGATTCCCCTGAGTTAAAACCTGACTTTGGATTATGTAACGAGTTCCTTTGGGAATATATGAGGACTCAGCCAGTCACTTAGAAGTAAAGCAAACTGCCAAAATAAAAATATACATATATTTCAAAAAGTGGCTAGTTTACACAGGAATCTAATTAAGGAAGGAGCTAGCTGGTAGAAAGTTGTGGGGAGAAAGGCAGTTCTAGCCTGGGCAACGTTAGTTTCTTGTCAAACAGTCATTTTGCAAGTGCTAATGGAATAGAAAATGTCATTGGGGAAAACACACATCTGTGAATACCTACTATGTGCTTCAGGTGGCAGAGGGCTGTGTGAAATATGGTAATATTCACTGTAGCTATACAAAACGTATTTCACAGTGTAATTAATTAGCCAGTCTATCGATACCATATGATACAAAATACTATTATGATCAAGTTTAAAAGCATTGCATATCACACTGATTAATACAAATTTAATTATTCAAATATGGCTGTGCTGATAGTTCCTTTGTCAAATATGGAAATCAGTGCAACATATTTTATAAATATTTCCATCTATAACTTTTTTTGTGATATTTCAAAAAGTTGGATGTAATCCTTATGTGATGGTGCACATAAAAATCTTGTGTACTTTGAGTTCAACTAGGGTAGACTGGCTTCCAAAGACAGCAGCAAAAGACGTGCATGGAGTTGTGCAGGTGGCTGAGGGGCAAAACAGGGCAGGGGAGAAAATGGGAAAGGTCTTTCTCTACCTGCCTTTGCAGCTGTGGCCCTGGATTTATCAGAAAACAGACACAATAACAAATAATTGCTAAGTGCTTCTGGTTGGGGTGGTTTAGACTGCTAACCCAAATTTACAGGCCAGTGTTTAAAACGCTATCTAGAACAGGGGTCAGCAGATAGTAAATCTGTCAGGAAGGGGCAGACAGTAAATATTTTTGGCTTTGTGGGCCATATGGTCTGTGTTGCAATTGCTCAACTTGGCTGCAGCAGCATGAAAGCAGCCATAGGCAATCACCAGTGGGCGTGGCTGTGTTCCAATAAAACTTTATTTATGGACACTGACGTTTGAATTTCATATAATTTTCACATGCCACAACATAGTCTTCTTTAGATTTTTTTCAGCATTTTAAAAGCAAAACCCATTCTTAGCTCATCGACCATACAAGAACAGGCAGTGGGCTGAATTTGACTCATGAGCTGTAGTTGGCTGACCCCCGATTCTGTTTTACTGTAGGCATCTACTGATTCTATGAATTCTTTCTTGACCTGCTTTTCCCTCTTTGCCCCTTCCACCTCCTTTCTCTCTTTCCTTTCTGCACCTCCCAGCTTCTACCTGTGAACGCCTCCAATAGATTTCGAAGGCTTACCGATATACCAGATGCACCCTCTCTGTGGTTAGAGTCCATGGTTTTTGCGTGTGTTGTTTTGTTGTTGTTTAGAGTGGGAATTTCTGTTACTGCCTCAAGAAAATGCCATTACGAAAATGCCTTTCTAGACACCCTCATCAAAGAAGCTGCCTCTTGCATCCAGAAAAATTCTTTGTTCCTATTCGGAAACAACAATCCCAACCAGCAAAGTAGGAAAAGAGAAACTTCACGTAACTGATGTTTTAGCATTGGTGATGTTTCTTACATTTTTCTACAATACAATCAGAGCCAACATTCTGAGGAGTTTGTGGATGGAGAAAGAGACCCGGTTAGGAATTTGAAGCCCTGAATAGGGTATCACAAAACACAGGGACTAACAACCACCTTCCTTCACATACCCATTCCCTGCTGGGGAGCCCCAGAATTTGCTTCAACATCCACTCTGTGCTTGGGAGTGGGAGGTGTCTTAGTTTCGTGCGGCTACAGCAGAATACCTGAGACTAGGTAATGTATAAAGAACAGGAATTACTGGCTCACAGTTTTGAAGTCTGGGAACTCTAAGATCAAGGTGCTGACACCAGGTGGAGGCCTTCTTGCTGCATCATCCCATGGCAGAAGGGCAACAGTACCAGAAAGGGAACCCACTCCTGTGAGTCCTTCCCATAATGACATTACTCTGTTCACTACCTAAACAGTTTCTGTTAGTTCCCACCTTCCAACACTTCCACATTGAGTATTAAGTTTCCAAGACGTGAATGCTGGGGGACACATTCGAATCACAGCGGGAGGCAACAGGCAGTCATTCAGAGGTTAGCTATATTTCCATCTCTATGTTTCTCCCCCCACAGCTCAGAGTCAGATTTGGAAGTGGATCTCTAAGTGTGTTAAATAAGAACATTGCATGGAGTTTAATTTTGCCTCAGGTCAGCCCTGACTTCTATAGGCTATCAACATTTACGAAAGCTAAATGACATCCAAGAGGCCAAGCAAAGTGTTATATGATCCCCAATTTACCGACAGGGACACTGAGGTTCAAAATCAGTGAGTAGTATACCCACAACTGGAACGTGAGATCCAGCTGCAGCAGAAAATCAAAATGACTCTTCTGTATTTATCAGTCTTTTTTCTCTATTACAACAGTCTGGTACGAGTATGTGTGATTTCATTTGTCCTTGGTGGATATTCTTAGGCTTCTACAGCCATAATACTTGCCAAAATGAAACTGCTTTGGCTAACTTAACATCATACTCTAAGCATCACCCACACTGACCCCCAGATCCTAGGGGTGGGAGAAATTAGACTAGATCTAAAACAACCAAAGCTGTAAACTACAAATAAGGGCATATTGTACGCGAAAAATGCGAAGTGTTATTTTCTTTTCTGTGCTCTTCTTCTCCCTGTGAACCATGATCCCTGCTTGCAAAGAAACCAATCAGCAAGGGGAGGTTTATGAGAGCTGGTGAAAGTTTGAACAGGTCCGTGCATTTTAAATTTATCTGCATAGTCTAATATACAACCCCACACTCTATCTCCAACTAGTTATTTTTAACCATGACAGCAACACAGCAGCAGTATAGCTACAGTAATGGGGAGCCTGAAAGGGCTAGACCAATCACCTATTTCCTCTTTTCCTGGCAAGCAGACAAGCAAAGCATCTTTTCTTTTCTTAGAGAACTTAATTCCTCCGGGGGCCTAGAATCCATATCAGTGTTAAATAAATTGGTCAGGTCTACTAGAACAGTTGGAAAACAACAGTACCATGCTACTTTGCATTGTAATAGGAAAAGGGTCAGTATGGATTTTCTAAAAGTTCACATTACATGGGCAAAAGGCAGGAGTCAAGATAGAAGGTAAAATTGATATGTGGAAAGGGATTATGAGCAGCCAGTGTCTAGTTACTCTGAATCAAAACAACATGTTCATGCAAAGAGTAGCTTGGACTGCTGAGGACTCCATTTAGAGTATGTAATTATATTTCTCCAAAGCATGATTTATCTGTTAAGCAAAGGTTCTAAATGTTCCATGAATCAAGCTATCAAAAGCCAACTGTTGACCTTGTGTGTTATCCTTTAGAAAGAGCCAGAACATATGGTTGGTCTGGAAGCCCAGAATCTAGGACACTGGAAAAGAGGGATGGATACACTCATCACGGCTTGAAAGACAGACCTTGCAAGGTAACCTGAACAAAACTGTGCCTAACCAACTCTTTAAAGATATAGCTGTTACATTTAAGTCCCAAAGGAAAATACTTCATAAGCTCCTCCTGGTAACTATTTCAATTGATTCCAACTTTCAGAGCCCGTAATAAAGAATATGTTGCAGTCAGAGTCATCCAGCACCCTGACCCCAGGAGGAATGTATTATTGATTACTGCAGATGTGCCCACTTTCATAAATTCACATATTCTTTCAGCAAACATTTATTTTAATATCCACTCTGTGCTGGGCTCTATAATAGGGACTAGGAAACAAAAATAACAACCAAAAAAAGAAAACATGATTCCTGCTATTCCTGTAAGTTAGCTTACAACCTCATAAAGAAACAGATATAAAAATAAACAATTAAGAAATGCATCTAGTTCAGCTAACAAGGCAAAAAAAGCACAAGTGCAGCCTGGACAACAAAGTGATACCCCACCTCTGTTCTCTTATAAGGACACATGCACATGAATGTTCATTGTAGCACTGTTTACAATAGCAAAGACTTGGAACCAATCCAAATGCCCATCCATGATAGACCAGACAGGGAAAATGTGGCACATATACACCATGGAATACTACGCAGCCATAAAAAACCATGAGTTCATGTCCTTTGTAGGGACATGGATAAACCTGGAAACCATCATTCTCAGCAAACTGACACAAGAACAGAAAATCAAACACCACATATTCTCACTCATAGGCAGGTGTTGAATAATGAGAACACATGGACACAGGGAGGGGATCATCACACACTGGGGTCTGTAGGGGTGGACTAGGGGAGGGACAGCAGGGGGTAGGGAGTTGGGGAGGGATAACATGGGGAGAAATGCCAGATATAGGTGATGGGGATGGAGGCAGCAAACCACATTTCCATATATGTACCTATGCAACAATCCTGCATGTTCTTCACTTGTACCCCAGAACCTAAAATGCAATAAAATATATAATATATATATATTTAAAAAATTAAAAAAAAACAATTATAGTACAATTAGTTAACACCTTAAAAAGAAAAGATACAGTTACTACTTTCGGCAAGCATCTAGGTGGTTTGGGGCCACATTAGTTACATTATTTACGTGCAATAAAGACAAAGTGAGAGCCAGGGACAAGTGTCTTAATATTTCTGAGAAGCTCAGGGAAGAATCCTTAGAGGGGATGACATTTAACTTCTCAGAGGAGACGGCATGCAGGGCTGGGAGTATCTCATACAGAGGAGAGTGCATCTCCGAAGGCATGGAGACATGAAAAAATATGGGGCATACAAGCAAATGCTAGTAAATAAGAGGCTTCTTGAGGAACTCAGCAAAATGAGACACCCAATAAATAGCACCTCCCACTAAGGAGATGACAAGTGATTCTACAGCCCTCTGCCCTGATTGCTCTTCTCCATCGGGAGGCATTGACAGCCCCGTCCACCTTGAGCCGATCTGTGTGCCTCCTCCCCACACTGTGTTCTGCATTCTTCCCACACTGATCATCCCAATAGGAGTGACAGCCTGCACTCCAGTTTTCCAGCCAGTGACCAGACCCAGGCCAAGCAGCACTGCCATATCGGCCTCCAGGGTAGACCCTGCCCCACAGCCAGCCAGGAGAAAAGACCCTCCAAGGTCCAAAGTTCCGAACATGTTTCACTGCACAATTTTGTTCAAGTTACCTTACAAGGTCTGTCTTTTAAGCTGTCTGCCTTACTCCTAGATACTTATGATTTCTGCTGACTAGAAACATAGCATTTTGAGATATGGTCTGTCACAGTGGAAATAACACTGGATTAGAAGAAAGAAGACCTGGGGATCTCCGAGGGTCTATGATCAGCCATGGTACTTCCATCAGGTTTCTTAATCTCTCTGGACCTCAGTTTCCACATCGTTAGGATTCGAGTAGGTGACTTCCGAGGTCCTTTCCAGCTGTTTCTCTGAATTATTGCTACTCAGGGGATATGATGGGTAGAAGCTGCTATCAAAACTACGATTCAGCCAGACTGTGTGTCATGGAAGATTATTCTAGAATATGAGCTGGCAAACTACAGCCCGTGGGCTGCATCCAGCCTGCAGGCCATTTCTATATAGCCCACAAGCTAAAAATGGTTTCTACATTTTTAAAAGGATTATAAATAAAACAACATGTGACAGACTTTATGTAGCTCACAAAGTCGAGCATGTTTACTATCTGGCCCTTTACAGAAGAAAAATTGCTAACCCCTGTTCTTGAACACTCAGAAACTGATCAGATTGGAGGCCTTAGCTATTTGATACTCTGCCACAAAATATTGTTTACTAACTCTGCTTAGGCAGACTAAAGAAGCTTGTCACATTCTTCTCATTGAGAGGTGTGCCTGTATCTCTTCCTCTTAGCGCTGGGTAGGCTCTGAGACTGCTTTGCTCTATGGAATACTGGGAAGTGGTATTCAACCAGCTTGGAGGCTCAGGCCTTGAGAAATGGGCAGTTTCTCCACCCTGTCTCCTGGAATACTCTGTCTGAGAGCCTTGAGTTGCATTCCCAAAATGGAGATAGACATGTAATGTGAAGCCTTCTTGGATGCTTCCAGACCAGCTTGTCTGCCAGCTGAATACCTCAAAGGACCTCAGTCAGCACCACTGGTGGAACAGAAGAATTGTCCAGTTAAGTTCTGTACAAATTTCTGACCACAAAATGTTTGTTGGTTTGAGCCTTTAAGTTTTGGGTAGTTTGTTACACAGCAATGGATAACTGGGCAGGATCAGAGTGTGAGGCGCATGTGAAATAGATGCCAGGCACTCCTCTGTCTGTCGTGGGTGGAGTCCTAGTTCTGGATTTTACTGTCTCTACATAATTCATATTATCAAACAAGATTGGGAATGCATCTTCATCCTGGCTTAGTTCTTATCGCATGATTTTCCAGGATGTGCAAGGGATTGTGGAAAAAGCACCTAAATTCTTCCATGGCACCTCCTAGGAAATCTAGGCACAGCCGGAATCTGCTCACAGCCCACGCCCTAGTGCTATTCACCCCCCAAATGTGAAGCTGCTTCTTCAAAAAGAACACTCCCAGAGATACTGCAGAGGCCAGGTTGATAGTGAGATACTTGAAGACAAGGGTTTGGTGGCATTCATCCTATCCCTAGTACCTAGCATAGCACATAGCCAGTCACAAAGTAGTTCCTCACTACATGTTTATGATTGCAAATAAATAATGATAATTGCCGTAAATTTACTTCACACCAGCATAGTACTAAATGTTTTGTGTGGATTTTCTCATTTACTCTTCACAATAATCCCAACAGGTAGATGCCATTAGCCTTATGTTAGAAATAGCAAAACCGAAGTTCAGGGAATGAATCTGCACAAGGTAGCTGCTAGAGTAGGTATTGTTTGACCTGAGTGCTCTTAACCACTCCAGCTGTGAGTGCTCTCACAGGTGAGGTATCCATAGTCCCTGCCTTTGAAGGGCTTGGAATCTGGGGGAGCGAGAGTCTAACCACACACCTGGAAACATTTTGCAGAGCAGATTATGTAAATGTTTCAGCTCTGTCAGCAGAGTTCTGTAGGGATCTTTGAGAGCTATATTAGTTTACTATTGCTGCATAGCAAATAACTATAGATTCAATGGCTTAAAATAAATCCATTTATTAGCTCAGTTTTTTAGGTCCAAAGTCCAAGCACAGTAGGACTGGATTCTTTGTTCACGGTCACCAAGGCTAAAATCGGGGTGTTGGTCAGGTTACTTTCTTATGTGGAGCTTAAGGTCTTCTTCCTAGCTCATGTGATTGTGGCAGAATTCAGTTCTTTGTGGTTGAAGAGCCAAGGCCTCTGTTTCCTTGTCAGCTCCAGCTGGGGGCTGCTGTCAGCCCCTAGAAGTCACCCATATCCCTCATCCAATGGGTCCTCTATCTTCAAAGCCAGCAATGGAGAACATCCCTGGGGTCAAATCCCTCTCACACTTCAGAAAGAACCCACTCTCATTTAAGGGCTCACCTGGTTAGGTCAGCCTCAGCCAGGATATTCTCCTTAAGGTCAACTGATTTCACAGGTTGATTATATTTGCAAAATTCCTTCGTGGCAGCACGTAGATTAGCATTTGCCTGGATAATTGGGAGAAGGTGCGTGTGCCCCAGGAGGTGGGAATCTCGCAGTCCATCTTAGAATTCTGCCTACCAGGAAAGCACAGAGCAAGGGCTGACTGATAAATAGAAGCTGCTCCACGGGTCTGTCCTCTTGCAGAGACTTTATCTGCTTCTCTATTCAGAGGCCCCAGTGGAGAGGGATTCGTTCTGGAACCTTAAGGCAGATGATTATACGATGCTTCTTAATCTGTGAGTGGGGTTTGGAGAGGAGGGGTGGGAGGCCCATAAAACAATGACTCTGCATGTTAATGTGCTCGTACAAAGGTAGAGAGGCTGCAAATTGTGATACCCCATGCTGATTCCCCATCTTTCTCCTCTTAATAAGGTCTCTGTGGAGAGGATTTGCCCCAGAGGGTGCGAGCTGGGCAGGGTCTGGGTTTGTCTTTCCCCACAGCCCTGTGTTCTCTGCACAATCGGCTGCGTTTGCATTTGGAGTTGATTACTGAATAATGAATTATCATTCCTTTTTCATATTCTAGCCCTTTTCAGAAGTGTGCTTCTACTTTTCTACTTATTGGGTCTCAAAAATGGAAAGAAAAAAAGATTCTTCTCTTAGAGGGGGCAGGAAACAGCATCTAAACAATCCCGTTTTGGTCCTGCAGTTGATAGTAATAATTGTTTTAATTAATTCAGTTTCTGACTTGGAGTAATTTAACTTCTTCCATGGCTGGACAATAACATGTCTAATGAAGCTAGCTTCACTAGGTAATACCAGGCAAGGCCACTTGGTCATAACACTTTCTTGCCCTCTCCAAGGGCTGCTTCGTCCCTGCTGGGCAGGGGTGAAGACATGAAGGGGCATCTGGAAATGGGGGTTCAATTCAAGGAGAATAGAGCCAGCCCTGTGTCAGAGAACAGAGGCTTGCTCCA